TATATATGTATGTATGTATGTATTACCTCATTGAGCACACAATGAATATGAGTAATATATGTGCATTTTTCACAACAATAAGCAGGATGTGCTGGATTCCTTTCACTTTCACAAATATCGCAATAATATTCTTCAGAATGATCTTCTGCAACCAAGTCCATATAATTGAGTGGATGCCGGTGATATCTATGTTCAGCTGAGGATGGTATTGGAACACATATGGGATGGACGTTGAAATTGCATTCAACACAACGATAGAAGTCATAACCACAAGGCGTGCCACAGGAACTGCATGGCTTAGCATTTTGACTTGGCTCAGATTTTTTGAAATAAGTGAGAAGGTGGTCATGGCACTCATGTTTTAAGGTGGGTAAGAGTTTAGCACAGCGAAAATGAAGGCAAAAGTTGCACGTTAGGCAAAAATAGTTGCGATACCAGTGATGAGTTGCAGTTTCAATGATCTGGTCTCCACAAGCATTGCAATCGTCGTTGGTTTCTTTATAGAGCAAGTGAAGAGGGTGCGAAGGATGAAAAGGATGATAAAGTGTTCTCGGTATCTTATCTCTACACAACTCGTGAAGAAAGAACTCACATTCCAGACAGCCATAGCACACTTCTGATAGACGCTTTTCACACCAACCACAATCATAGTCATGTTCTCTTATCTTCCTATATTTGAAGATGGTCAGCTTTTCAGGGTGGCTGTAGTGCTGAATTTCCTTTTTCTTGCCATCTTTAAGTCTCTGCCACTCCTCTTCAAGCACTGGATCATTAGTTGAAGAAGCGCATGCTAACTCAAGATTAAAATGACATTCATAGCACTTGTATCTGGAGCCACCAGAAATATACAAACATTTATCACAAATGAAGTCCTCATAACTGAGTTTTAGTCCAAGCTGGTGTTGTGAGTGGAGAGGATGAATAATCTCAAGAGGCAGATTTTGAACTTCACTCGCGCATGATTCATGGAGCCAAAAATAGCACTGTACACAAAGATAGGCCGCATTGGAGATTTGCTTTGCACATGCATTACAGTAACGTTCAGGAGGATCAGTAAACAAGGAAGGTGCATTCTGAGAATTGATGAAGGACAAGGAATGTTCATGAGAGGCAAGTTTGATATTCATCTCAAAGAAGATAGAAAATGGATAAACAAAGAGATGGATAGAGAGATAGAACAAAGATTATACTTGTGCTAGATAAGCTCTATGCAATGGCAATCAAGATTAAGAGGACTGCGATCCAAGGATGGAATCTCAACCCCCTCACTTTTCATATTATAAAATAATTCAAAAGGAGCAATCCCTTTCTTCAGTGGTGTAAACACACAAGGTATATATTTGCTCCTCATTAAAATAAGTTATAGATAAACTATATGTAAAGATATGGATATTAAATTAATAAATTGTTACCTGAATCATCCAGAAACAGTAATGCTTTGTCCATAATTAAAGCAGGTTATTTTCTTTATTGAATAAGTAAAAATATCATTTATCTTGAAAATCAGATCTAGTCAGCTACAACAGATGAAATGAAACTATAAAAACAATTCCAATTTTAATGAAAGAAAGTGCCCGTCTTAGTTATTATAAGTTTTCTTAAGCTTCCTCCTCAATAATTTCGTAGATCTTTTAAAAAAGTTAAAACAATTCAAATACTGCTTTAATGACACAAAATTGGTTTTAAGGCCTGGGTTGAGTTGAAGTGGGTACATAAATTCAGCTGTAATTACAAACACTAGACTTGCCATCTTTTAATAAAACTTTATGAGGAGAATTCGTTTGTTGCAATTTGATTTAACAGTAAGCATAAGTAACTTAGCACTCAAAGAACTGGATTCAAATTCCCCCTCCCTCTAATCAAAGCACAACAATCCTACAAAGTGCAACTGAACAATGAACAAATTTCTATATTATTGTTCACAGCTTGTTGTAAAGTTTAAAACTAGCCACTAGGCTAGCAAAAGTATAAAGAATAGCTAATGACAACAATGTAGTTTGAGGAGCTGATGACAATTATTTGGAAGAGTAAAACTGAATGCTAGTTCATGAATGAATAAAGAATGATGCAGTCTCTGAGGTGACAACTTGAAGGGATGACAAATTTGTCTACCCATTTAAGCTTTACTTAATCCATACAGTGAGTTCATGTTTTCCTCCGCATAAGAGCTGAAAATATCAAGGCAAGCAACTGGAAGTCAAGTAAAATTTAAAAGATGGGCTTCTTTTTTCCCATCCTTCCTTTGGTTGACAGATAATGCAGTACCTTGAGGTGATACAAATCAGAACAATTTGTTTTGTTTTTTTTCTCTAACCTGTGTATTCATGAGGATTGTTTGATCATATTGGATCATAGCCTACCGTTTTCCCTAATAAATCGGAAATCAGTCTTTTCATTCCCAAAATGAACAAAATAGAGTTAAATGATGTTAATGTCCAACGTTCATTCTGTAGTTTCTTGCACAATACGAATGCTTTTAACTTGTAATCCAAAGAAACTCAGTTTCCTGGCAAATAAAACATACTCGGTCCAATTTTGACACCATTTGACACCCTTAATAAACTAAAATCTGAGGTTTCGGCCACTGCCCTCAAGAACAGTACTGATCTGTTTGCTTCATTACGTATCAGCCATTATTCTTTAGCTCAGTTTAATTATCAAGAGACCGAAGGAAAAAAAACAGAACAAGATAATAAACAAGCAGAAACTTCTTCGAATCTCACCAATATATACTATGGCCTTCTCTGTTGTTATTTTTGAAATGTGATGCAGAAAAGCCCTTGAAGAAAACAAGAGTCTTCATGGGATCTATATTGGTATCTATCCATCTTGCCCATGCAGTCAAAGTTTTTCCAAAACCGACTGCAAGTAGCATAAATCAAACGAGAAGGATAAAGGACAAACATGCATTGAATAGAATGGAGTAAGAAAAGCTTCTCGTTTTGCAAAAATGAAAAAACATACTAAATATAAAAATAAAAAAAAAACATATTCAATATTAGTTATTGACACCAAGAAAAGCCTTTATAAATCATAACTTAATACTCAATGAATCTTATCGAGCATCATGCTATGTAAATCTACTTGTCCGTTAGCAGTAGTTACATTGTTCTTTTGTAGCCATGGACAGTTCATATCAAGATTTGCGGCATGGGACTAAATTAAATATCACTCCTCATACGAGAAATGCATAGCACTATCTAAATTAACCTATAATCTTGGATTAACATTAAGAAT